ATTGACAGAAAGCTTTCTTTTTAATGAGTTTCTACATTTTATGTGGGGGAGCTGCATTTAATTCTCTGGATTTTTTTTCTTGTGGGAAGTATTTTGTTCAAGTGCAGTTGCAATTTTTAACTGACTTTTACATTTGGAAATTTTAATAATGAAGACAGTTCCATCTTTTCTGTAAGTATATATACTTGAAATTTCAAAACTATTTCATTTGATGGTATATCTGAGTATATTATATTTTTATAATATATATAAATATAATTTATATTTGATAAAATTATTAGTATAATTCAACTTGCTTTCAATTTTCAAGACTTAATAATTAAAAGTGTTGCTTTTGACAAATATAAATGTTTTTACATATGTATCTAGAAGATATGTCAGCTAGCTAGTTCAAATTGTAAAATTTCTTATTTTTTCTTTCATATTTGATAAGCTGGGAGTTACAATTCATTTTTTAAAAATCAATTTCATGCATAATCATTACATAAGATCAGGCAGCCATTATTCAAATAACTTGAGGTAATATTTATTTAACTCGACATCAAGTGTTTAAACAGTGCAGGTTATTTTTCGATAAGATAATGTATTGATCAGCGCAATATATACCTTACCCCAACATAGCAATTAAATGTAGTGCACTGTACTTCCCTGTCTGTCCTTAAGGGGCCTATATCGATATCATACGATATTGATACAATATTGATATGATCAGTACTCTTAATGAACAGTGACTGTGTAGATTTTGAGCCATGGGGGAATGCCTGGCTTGTTGTTTTCAGAGAAGATTCAAGTATGTGTCTCTTATAATTGAGTTCATTATGTTGTGATTGTGTGTACAGGTTTGTAATATATTGATTTGTAAATCATGGTTCATTTTCAGATTATCGGGCAAAATTGGCAAGGTGTGAAGTTAGATGATTTTAAAGTAAGAAAAGCTAGGAGAGAAAAGGGAAATCATTTCAAAACTTTGCAATTCTTTCTTCGCTTTGTGTATAACCAACACATTATCTTGTTTTTAATGAAATTCTAATGTATAATTAACTTTCAAAAAGGAAGTTGCTTTATAATGCATGTAAGAGGGTTGGGTATGGATGATGTAGAGTGCACCTGTCTGAGAACTCAAAGGGGTCCTTGGTTCAAACCCTGATCTAAATCATGATCTCTGCATGTCTCCCCCTTTTTAACAAATATCCAAGTCTTTGAAATATTGTGTGAAAAAGCAAAGAAAAAATCAATTCAACAAAGGAAAAAATTAACTCCTTAAAAACCCAGAGTTTCCTGTGTGCTCCATTCCATGCAAAAACATATGCATCTATATGTCTGTATGTGGCCGGCTTATTTGGGTGTTTTCATATTGCCTAGATTTAATGGTATACAAAGATCCTCACTTTCAGTAATGTGTATTCAGCCTAACTGCTTAGACAGGATACCTGATGTTCCACTCGGAATCTTAGGTTATCCGAGTCTGTGACATCATGGTTTTGGTGTCTCTTCGTTACAACAGAATGACACACGGGGACAAGATAACAGTGAAGTAGTTGGGCGGGTCAGTTCAGAGGCTTAAAGAACCCATATTCCATCAGCACTACATAAAACGCTGAGATGAATCCCATTGATAATGGATTGTTGGAGAGATAGGAATCTTTCCTTTGTGTGTCAATACGGCCCTCGGGGTATACCCAATGACCCGGACTCATGCTATCTGATGATCAGTAAAATTTCATTTTAATTGAAATTTAATTCTTGGGTAAGCCTGAATGCTAGCACAGTCACACTTTATATTCCAAAGTCGGATAATGTATCAATCATATACACCAAAAGTAATCCTGTGAAATATATATTGCTCATTTGTTTATGGTAATATACCCTTTATGCAATTATAAATACTGAATGGAAACCAGTGTACTTTCTGTTTTGTGGAATGATTGGTTTCAATAGGTATATTTGTGAATCATATAATTGTATAGTGATTTTGAAGATTGCATTGAGTGGCAGAGTGCTTGCTGATAAAATTTTTCATTGCCTATCTGTTTTGCGGCCCGTCAGACGTTGTGCTTTAAAGGAACAATAGCCTGCATTGGAATTACACGTTTAACAAGAAGGGACTTTGTTTATATACATGGTTCAGTGACGAGTTGGTCCATTTTTCAATAGCACCTGATTGGCCTGTGTTTTCTTTACATTAACATAAACAGGGCACTGGCATTTTCTATTGAAATTTAACAAAGTGGAAGACACTATGGGGAGTGAACATATTAGTGTTCTTGATCAACCCTCTGCAAATTGTGAGAGTTGTACATGTGGAATGAAGGAGGATGGGTTTTCCCATTGCATTTCTTAGAAGGAAGTGCACGGTTGAGAATACTGGTTTGAAATCTTTTCAGTGAATTTGGAATGAAAAGGGTTAAATGTATCCTACAATTGAAAATATTATATGGATTTAATAAAGTATAGTGGTATTTGATAGATCTTGGACGACAGGTACTGTACCAAGTATTTATACTCATGTGTGCTTTCAGTCTTTTTTCATATATTATTTTTCGGGTTTGCTGGTCTAATATGTGTTACAATGTAGACATTGACTATAAATGCTGATGTTTAATATGGTCATTTTATTTGCAAAATTACTTTTGTCTGAACATAAATGGTAAAATTTTAATTTTCAGTCCTGTGAGAAAAGTTGAGGAAAAACATTGTTGAACATCTCATGAGTGTCGATCGATCCAAAAAACATCATTGCTGATGTCTGCAAGCAGCTGTAGAAAGGATCAAATCAATTCCTGTAGAAAATCTTTCTTAAATTTATATAAATTAATCCATGAAATTCAATGTTCATGCAAATTAATTCAATGAGATTTTATATGAAGTTTCATAGACGTTCTGTTTCAACTGTGTTCTTGTCCTTTATCAACCATATATATAACTGCAAGATGACATATTATACATAATGTTTGGTGCTTGCTGATGATGGAGTACTCAGTTGTACATGTAGTTTTATAACCTTGTATACTGCAGGTTTATTTTTTATTACTTTCTTTTTGAATCAATGTAAGTAAAATTATTGACACTGGTTCTTATATGTAAAAGAGTTTAAAACTTGGTGGGGGGGGGGGGGGGGGGGGGGGGGACTGGGGCAATATACCACGTAAATAAAAAAATTTAAGTTTCTAAGTTATAATAGATCTTCAACCCATAATACTATATCTTGAAGGATATACTAGTAACCTAATTTAAGTTTCCATAACAACATGAATAAGTGGGAAACATGCACATGTCAAATGTCTTTAATTATATAAAGTAAAAGCATTATATATATCTTAATTCCCCACTAATCACCATTTATCTACTATCTACAGCCTGTATATAGATGTAAAATTGTAATGAATCATTGACCACTAATTAATTATTCATGTAGAGGGTCATCACTCTGTCATGGTCAGTAATGACCAGTCGTTCCTCATAAGACCTTTCTGACCACCTGGTTGCATGACCATTACATGAAAGACTGTTAGCCTAGTTCTTACTGTCAATGCAAAGAAGAAGTACATTGTTATGAAAACTTATATAAAGACTTCTGGAATGGATTAAAGGATTGCTTGAGCCTTTGACTATAAGTAGGTGTCATTGTAGTCACAACATTGCATTTAGTGTCTAAAATTGACTTTTATAGCCATAAATTTCCAAAATCAGGCTATGTTTATCATTGTTTTCTGTGAGGCCTATTTAAGGTCCATCAAACTTGGTGCATGCATCTCAGAGGGATTTAAGTATGTTGTGACCTGAAAGGACTACTGTGTAGTCAATATGGACTTACGCATTTTTCATGACTGTACAAATTGTTATCCTGTTAAGACCAATATCAAGCCTGGATATTTCATGAATTTCAAAGTTTTATTGCATTTCAAAAATGGATTTTGGGTTGAATATTCATTTAAAGACTGATACTTTTTACTTTAACTGTTCAATTTACTATTGTTCATGAAGTCTGAGGTGCCAGCATTATATTATAGTCAATTAAACCTTGTTATCTCAAACTTAATTGGGTCAGAGAAGTAAATTTAAGATACCTGAAGATTCGAGATAATGAGGTTAATATAAATTTGAGATATCCGAAGATTGGAGATTAAATGAGGCTAAAATATGAAAAGAAAAATTGGTTGAGACTTCAAAGTCACTTACCAGTTGTGGTAGCATAGTGGTAGGGTGCATGCTTCAGGAAGGGAGGTCTGGGTTCAAATTCTCATTCCCTGTGCCTTGATCATCCACACTAAGATGTATAAGTAGGTGGTGGCTGTTCCTTTACCAAGTACCCAGAGTTACAAGTGAAAGTCATGGGTCTTTCAGATATGACCTTAAAACATAGGGTCCATGTAACAGTTGGCATTGCCACAGTAAAGATCCCTCACTACTCAGTGGCCCTGAGTGCTGAGTAGACAGGTCCAAATTTGGAGCCCTTCACTGCATGGTATTTAATGATGTCTCATTTGAATGAAAAATTCTTGCAAGGGGCTTAGAACAACAATCAATTCATCAAAATAGTAATATATGTCATAAATTAAACTTGCGTATCAACTATGTCGATCAAAATTGCTTGATTCTTAAGAGTTTGTATTTGCCATGGACCTGCATTGATATGATACACACATGACCATTGGATTTGAATTCAACTGCCTCTTTAAAGAAGCACATTCATTTTTGAAAAATTGCTCTATTTAGCATTCAATGTACAGTTTTTTAATCAGAATATGATGAGCTAGGATATAAATATTGTCATGAATAATATAAGCCAGCATTGTTAAAGTTCATAACAGTAACAAGGTTAGTTGATTGCTCATTATTTAGTCAGAGGAAGAAGAAACCATTCATGAACTCACATATACTTATAACTTTTATTCATTCATAATCTCGATATTATAATTATCATGGAAAGTGAAACCAAAAATTGTTATGTGTATTTGAATTATTAAACCCTCTTAGCAGTTGTTGCTTCTTAATTACAGCAGGGCCATGAGCCTCACTAAGAAGGGGCCGGAGCCTGGTGGCCCCTTGACAAAGAAGGTTCCCCCAGAGGACTTTCGGAGTAACGGAGGTGGACATTACCCCCTGTCATACCATGCAGAACCCCCTGACGATGAGAACATGAATGAGATTGTAGAGGAAAATGTGGATGTTTTTGTCCACCTTCCTGACAGGGGACGGAAAAAGGTTGCCGTCAATTCAAAGTAAGTTTTAGGTCGAGCAGGAAGTGAAATGCTTTTGTATAGCTACAGAGTAATATAAAGACTGAAGAGTTTGTATAATACCATGGTTAATTAGTAATTAAGGTATGACTTCCTTTATTGTGGGTAAAGTTTGGATTTTTATCAGATTTTGATTTGGTGACTAGGATATACAGTAAAACTTGATTATATGGGAGTTTTAAAGGGGACATGAATTTTTATTTTCTTATAATGAAAAAGATGAAGATAATGCACAATGATTACAGTAATCTTAAAAAAAAAAAAACCTGCAAACAATAGATAGAGAACAGGGCATAAAACATGGACCCCCAGAAATTCCACTGGTAGGATTAGGCACTTAGGAGGAGTAAGCATCCCCTGTTGACTGGTCACACCTACCATGAGCCCTATGTATTGATGTTAAAACAGAATATTTCATAGTCAAATTTAGTATAAAAACAAAGGCCAAACAATTGGTATGAAAAATGTCAGACAAAATATGTCAGACTCAATGATAGTTTATGTTTGATAACAAGGTAATTATAACGATCATTAAATTTACAAAATGCTGACTTAAGAAGGCTGTTGAAATCCCTGTAACATCAACTTATTTGTCAGTAGCCTTCATCAGTTTAAAAAATTGATTGTACTCGGAGCATGCTCTTGAGTATCAAATAAGCTGGGAGACATAAACAGCATACATGTATGTGGATGATTGCAGAATATTGCCACATAAATATAAGGAAAGTTGATGATGGAAAACCTAGTCATGCATTGTGGCGTCTTTTATTTCAAGTTCACTGGGATATATCGAGTCAACATATGAATGGAAGTACCTATTGTTAATTGATTAAACATCATTGAAATATCTTAATGTCAAGTTGAAGGCCACAACAAGTGTTTTCTTCTTCTCATGTAGAAGTTTTTAAATTCTGCTTCATATATAGGAATATAAATACAGGTCAGTTAATAAAGGAGCACAATTAATGCCCATCGAAATTCCAGCTGAATTTCTTTTTTATCCATACAAGAAAGTACTTTGATATGAAGGATGAGGAAAATATGAAACTTCCTTGTAACCAAGATTTCCTTATATCCAAATTCTGTATAAGTGAGTTTTACTGTATATAATCATAATTCTTAGTCCTCAGATTCTGCTTTGAAGTTTTCTCACTCAGTTAGATATGAAAATCCATAATGTAAATCCTAGAAATAATGGCCTTGATTTTAAGGATTTATACGTTTTCATAATGGATTTTCATCAAACTGTGTGAGACTTAAAACTTTAATATATTGTGATACATATCTGTTGTGTATACAGTTTACATTTTTAGATTCCATGTACATCAAATAAACTGGGACTTATGTTCATTTTGTATTAATAGGTTATCTTATTTTTTTCCCCTGAAAATCAAAAAAAAAATTACTCTATTCAGATGAAAAATAACTTGTTCAAGGGCAGTAACTCTTACATCATGAGCATTTTTTGGCACAGAGAGGGAGAGAGAGAGAGAGAGAGTAACCACAAATATTTTTAAAGTTTTTCAAGTCAAACGTATTATGTATGCTGCATTATTTGAGGGATTATACAGGATTTGTTGTAATTTATTTGTGTCTAGATTGTGTAGCACTGATTCCATTGTAGGCAGAGTCTTAAATACCATAAGTTCACTGAGGCATTGATAATGCATGCATAATGAAATCTCCAAGTGGTTTCATTCAGATTGTTTACTGTCATTCTAAATATTTAAAAAAATATATGGTTGAATGTATTACTTTTTTTTTCAACACAAGCTTACAATGTCATACATTAGATTTTCTTCGGAAAATTTTAAGAATAAATTATAAAATATGGATATATAGTTCTGAATACTTTTTACAAGTTCAAAGAAATTTGTAAGCATATTTAAGACGTGAACCAACTTAATTTCCATACAAATCCTTAATTTGCCTTTTCAATGTATTAATACATGCATGTATTCATGTATAAATAAATAGATGTTTATGATACCAAGAAGATAATATTATTTGTTATTTAATTGTCCTGAATTAATCTATATATATCATTCAATCAGAAATTCAGATTTATTTTATATTGCTAATTATATCTTTTGAAAGTGTTTAAATTGTAAAATAATAAGTATACTTTGTAGACTCTTTTGTACAACAAATATTCTGGAGTACACAAGTAAGAGTTACTGCCCTTTGATTGTGTTTTTGTTATGGTGATGAGGTTTTAGGAAACAGACTATAATTGCTCTCTGTTATTCATGGCCACCAAGCATGCAATCACAACACAGTGTTATGTATAGACTGTTCTCTTTAACACACTGTATGTGTAGTGTTCAGTTAAATACCTGTCAAATAGCAGTGTATGGAACAGGTAGCAGAGAATGTTGGGCAAACATGGTGTGATTCAAACATTGGGTGTTTAACTGTCATTAAGGAGAAATTTATCGGTGAAATTAACTGGACACCCGAATTTAGAGGATTCGGAGAAAATTTGACCATATAATGAAGAAATATTGAAAAAAAGAGAGATATGTTTTCAAGGAAAAAGAAACAGGTGCTTGGTGGCTCGAAGACAGCGTTGAATGGCCACAATGAAGAGGTAGGAATTTTCATGCATTTTAATGATTTCCTTAATTTTTTTTTAATTTTTAGCATTCCCATGATGGACCTTTTAGTGAACCTGGCTGCGGGGAGTCGTCTTAACCCCGGGGGTCACACCTTGCAGGTGTTAAATGAGGACACTGGAAAATTAAAACAATACAAACCCAATCAGACAATAGGCTCCCTCTGTACCCGTGGGGAGGATCACAAATTTCAATATGTCACCGTGCAAATTGTCCCCAAGAAAGATTCTAAGAAATCCTCAGGGAATAACCGAAATGTCCAGCCGTTTGAGGTAAGGTGTTTAATCCTCTTAGGTCAATAGTTTGTCGTGCCAGCTCACATGAAAAAAAAGGACATTACACTTTTAGTTACTCCATGCTTTTTTAAGTTTTAAGTGAAAACATTCTATTAATTAATATATTCATTTCATGGAAATTAAGGACACATTTTATGATAAAAGCTAGGCCACTATTTTGAAATAATAAATTCTAACTAGGTACCTGCATAATATAAAGATGAGTGGAAATATGTATAACATTTTATTCTTAAAACTTTATAAAGACATTGGAATATTCTCTGTAATTGCGGTCTTATACTGAATATTTTAATCAAGCTCAGATTGGAATTTCTAGGGTGTACATATGTCTTTTGTAGGATTCAGATTGTGTTAGACAATTTGTATCAGTATATATATAAACAGGTCTCTTCAGAAGAGAAAATAAGTAAACATGAGGCTTTTAATGCGATACTGATAGCAACACTGCAAGAGAGGATTGTTTAAAACAAAACAGCTGATGTTTCATCCTGTTTCTGAAGTTGACACTGGTATTGACTATTGACCCAGATACCTTTCAGGTGTTTGCAGGTGAAACAGGAGACACCAAAACAAACCATCAGGTGTATTGATTGATTGATTCAGAAATTGATTTTAGAAAAAAACATCTTGACACCTCCATAGATTAATTGGAAAGCACAGAAAAAAATCAAATTGTATAACTGTTGCATACAGTATGGACCTAAAATTGATACAGAGTACATACAATACTGCATTGAATTGGCCTGTAAATTTTTACATGTATATTATATATATTAGTACATTTTCCATTATGTGACGAACATTTGTATGGATGCAGGGATCATGCACTTAATCACTCTTGAGATATTTAAATTCATTCATCTTCAGGTTTTTTTTTTTACAACTTAATTAATTCTCTTGTTTTGGAGCTACTCTGGGATTGTTATATAAATTTATATGTTGAAAAAAAAATTAAACTTCAGAAGTAATTCATGTACATGCACTGGGTTGCACCAAGTTCTTTACTACTTCTGTAGAAGAATTTAATGGAAGACTTAACTTTAACTAGCTGGTATGAAGGTTAAAATTGAAATGTGCATTGGCATATATTTGCTCCTTTAAGTCTCTGCATGTAGACATTATATATTTGTTCCGTTGCAAGTCCATTTAAAAATGCAATAAACAAAGCAAGATATTCTTGATGTATGTTCACTAAATGCCATGAATACATGGAAATTAACTGTCTTAATTTCTTCATATAAATGCAGTTGGGATGATGAATGTACAGGATACTGCAAGAATTGTCTGGCAATTATTAATATAAAATCTCTTACTTAATTCTCAAGCATGGAGCATTTTAATTAAATTCCCCATATAATTTGTCAAATGGATCCATTTCAAGGTTTTATATATCTATATATAGAGTTAAATCAGGGGAAAAAAATATGTATGTGAATTTCTGTTAGAGACTCTCAATTTTTTTTTAATCAAAAAATTTCAAAATTTTGTTTTTGATTAATATTTCCAACAGTCTCTGATGCAAAGCAATTAATATGAAAACAGTGGTACCATTTGAAATTCTTTATACTTATACATGTAAGTGCAAATGTATATTTATAATTAAATGAATGTTTCATGGATAAAATAATGGTTTCTTAAGATTCTGACTTAAAATCTAATATTTTTTTATTCTATCTATGAGTCTTTTTAAATTGGTGTTATCATACTGAGTGTAAACTCCTATATTATATTTGAGGGATCTCGATCTTCATGCAACCACTGCAAAAGTTGCATCAAACTAAGAATTGTAATCAAATCAATGAGTCAATTTTGCCCTCTTTAAAAAATAAAACCATAAGTTGCTAAATAATTGCAAAGTCTGGCAACCATTGCAGAATCCTGAGCCTCACAGGGTGCCAAATTCGTACTTTTGCTGGTTTGAGGACTCATCTGTGACATCTTAGCAAGTTTGTCCTTGCCGAATCTTTTAAATTAGTTTGCTCTGATTAATGCCTCTGTAATTATACCTGTAAATTAGATGTAACACAGTAAATGGAAGTTAATGATTTTGTCAGCGGTTTGAATGCTTGGTGATTTTGCTATGATACCAATTGCTTACAGAGCAGTTGAATTAAATCCAAGTGCATTTTAAATGTGTTGGTTGAGCTAAATTTCAGTTAGAAATTTTTTATTTGAGACACTTTCTCTCTCTCTCTCTCTCTCTTCTCTCTCTCTTTAATATTTCACATTATTTAGTAATACATGTACTACATTAAATAGATAGCAAATCCTGCAAAACAGTTGTTGACCTTTAAACATTTTAAGTTGAAATATAATCTTAATAAACACCTGTGAAATGTTCAGGTATTTAACTCTTTACCGTAAATTTTGTCATTGTCTACTTGCTATGCATACAGTAGAGAATTGAAATTCACCACCATGTTTATAAGGCCTCTATGCTATATGTGTGGACACTTTTTCAGTGCAAAGTTTTCAACCTTGTGTACGCATGCAGAAACACTGAACAGGGGGTCAAACCATTTTTAGATGACTGCCTATTATAGGCCTGATAATCATATTCAAGGCTTTGTAATGCCTGCATATCATTACACTGACAGCAAATTTTGAAGAAAATGTCCCAATCTGCAAATTCTGGGGCATAATATAGAATATCTTATAGTGACAAGCCAATATGTAGATTCACAAAGTCATGAAATTTATCAGCTGTGAATTTTTCTTGGACCATTAAATAGAAACAATGCAAATGAGAAGCGAGTTTTTTCTTAGCGGATTTTCTTTGTACTTGGAGCATCAAAGGGGAAATGTTTTTCTTTGATATATCAGACAGGTATAGAGATAAGTCTTGTTATGGAAGAGATCAGCACTGATGACGATCTTGATTTCGAATTTACCACAAAAAAGAGATACAATTTCTATACAATATCATTTCATCATGATGTACACGTATTCTGAATAAATTATTGATTAGATATTGTAAATAATTCAAATTAAGTTTTGTATTGGCATTTAGGCCTTAATTAATTTATCTGAAAATTTAACTTTTTTTTTAAAAATTTTGATACAATTACATATACATATTTTGGAATGATGGTATTTCACTTTGTATTTAGGTCAATAAGAAACTTAAAATTTATACAAATGCCCAGGAAGTTTATAGAAATATAAATTATGTTAAAACACATACATATGTAAGCATGCAAACGTAACATTTACTGGTACTAACAATAATGAACATGCAGGTAAACTAAAACACTACCATAGTATATATGAATAATTACTAAAGTTTACCTAATAATTAGTGCACCAAACTTGTCAGGTAGATGTAAATCATGTCTATTTTTTTGCCTAGAGGTCAAATGTTGACCTTTACAGAGTCCTGAGCATTCAGGCTTTCTTGGGTATAGGGAATTGAAATATAGCATGACACTAGGGGAGTTTTTAGCAGATCTAGGACAGGTAAATATATATATATCTATATTTTTTAAAAAATATATCAATATTTTTCATGTAAGCATCATATGTCAGACTTCATAAGAAAAAAAAAAAACAAAATTTATTGCATAAAAAATTATGAACAAACATGCTTCTATGAAAAGTTATGAGGCTTCCAAGACTAAATTTCCATTATTTTAGGTTGATTTTTTTTGTAAATTTCTTTTGAGACAACATGCCCATGCCTAAAACACTCAGAGTATAGAGGACTTAATGGTCCCCCTTGTTGAACAACTTTGAGTCTATCAATAATTTTGATATACTGCAGTAAGGTAGTAGATAGAATGTCATTTCACTTTTTATAATCACATTATTTAAAGTTTGCTTTTCTCAGTATCATCTGTATTTTGGGAAATACATAGCATATTTTCTATGAAATAAGTTTTAAAGTATCTCTGCCTCATTCAACTCAATAAGCCAAATATTCTAATGAACAAGTGATATAGTTAATACATGTAGTTTACCAACCAAAGAGTTATTAATACAAAGTGTAGTAGCTTTTTGAATTCACTTCATAGGCTATGATCAATTTACACACGTCAGTGAAAATGAATCATTCAGAATTAAGCTTGCTTTTAAAGTATCGAAAAACATTTCTTCACAATTAGAGTGATGAAGTATATATACATGTACACTGTAAGTACATGTATATATAAATACAAAACAAGCATTTTTGTCATAGTGGTACCACTTTCACGGGCCTGTGTTTATATGTGTGAACATTTAATTGAATGATTGAAAAGAAATACAAATTTAAGCCACTCACCACATTTCTATGTATACAAGCTTTGTTAGAAATAAATACTTTATAGGTATATATATCTGGGAATTTTAAAAGGCCAGAAATTTGAATGAAGTAGGACATCATCGTATGAATATACACTTTTCGGAGCAAAGGCAGAACGGAATGGATTGAATGAATGAGAGAAAGAGATCATGTACTGTGATATGATATTGAATGGCGGCTTTGTGTAGAGGAATTTTAAACATTGACAAAAGTGGAATTATCTCTTGGACTTTAATTGTAGGCCATGGAAGAGTAATAGCAAACCACAACTAAACAGAGGGTATATTTATACCTACATGTGACTTAAGATAGATGGCTGTAAATTATTTGATCGAGAATTCTTGTAGTCATGCAGAAATTTAGTTTTGGAATAATTTAAGACATACAAGTGAAAAATTTGATACCACGATTTAACACTCATGGCAGTTTTGAAAAAAAAAAATTCCAAATTCAGTGCTCTATTGAGTGCAACCAAAATGTTGAAGAAAATAAGAGGTGCATACCATTTAATAATGTAATCGATTATTATTTAGTTATGCGTACATGCTGATGCATTGGTGACGTGCTCAATACATGCAGCTATTATATAGGTATAGAATTGACAGTTTCTCATAGTTATTCAGAAGATTGATTTGTATTCTAGCTTGCTTTGGGATCAATAAAATCTTAATTGATCAATGCATACTTTTTGAATGCAGAATAGAATGCAGTTCAGAATTCATTCATGTTAACTGACAATATATACATTTGACAATGTGTCATTTAAATCAGTAATGTTTCCTTGATCACCAATAAATAAGTAACAATTGTAGGGGGTTAAGTCATTATGACTTAATTTCTGACAAAATGGTCCAGTTACACTAAAAAGGTAATATACATGCAATGTTGATCTACATAGAAATTGAATTTAACAAAATTAATTTAAGAGCAACAGTTTATTTACTTAATATAAGCTCATCTTATAATATTGTCACTTGAAGAAAATTAATTTTCTTTGTGACACCCCTTGCCATTTGACTTGTTTCAAGTCAGATATATAGACAGTTTTCTGTGAAAATTAACTTTTCACCTGTAAAATCAGATTTATGGGGAAAAAAATGATTTTAAACCTGATCCTAAGGATCAGTGATAGGATCAAGATGAACTTTATGAATTAGATGGTCAGGCCAATTCATACCTGATATCTGAAATTTTTGACCTCCCAGTTGACCTTGTGTGTGATTTGTAAACAATTTTCACCAGTCAAAAGTATAGTGATAAAAGTCGGGTACTTGAAGTATATATATTGTATACACTGCATAGAGGGTGTGTGTAAATTATTTCTGTAATAAATGCGTTGGCAGATCTTGTGAAGGTTATTATAAGCGGACTGTAAACGTTTACAAAGGAAGAGATCTCATGTGTCTCAGGAAAAATGACACTCATCTCGCTCGTACACTAAAAAAGCAACCTGTTGTGATTTTGTGTTTTATATAATGATCCATTTTGGATTGTTCATCTTCTTTCATTCTATGTGGTATTGTGGTCTTTTTTCCGATATGGAATAAGTTAATTTTGTAACACAGTATAGGAGTATGAGATTGGAATTGCTCGGATATCTGGCCGATTTTTATTTGTGAGATTCTAAGATTATGATGTCTAAATCCAGAGAACTTCCATTTGTGGTAAGCTTAATGACCAAACTCCAATGTTTTTTTTTGTCTAATTGAGTATGATAATTGTTCATGAATTCAAAACTATGTGTATGAAAAATATTGTAACAGGTATTTACTGTGAATCATGGTCCAAATAGAGCCATATGGGTGGGCTAATTTAGGTACAGTATATGTATACATTCATGTACATATACATGTACACTAATTGCTGTCCATTTTGGGGTTTTATGGGAATGGAGGACCTCTAAAGAGTTCTAACCCCCCACCCCACCCCAGTCTTTTCCCCCTTCCCATATTTTTGGCAATGATTTGACAATCATCTAAAGTTTTTGGTCTTAGTCGTAAGTTCTTTTGTAAAACGGGCCCCAGAACATCAGAACAACCTTTTGAAAAAAAAAAATTAGTTATTAAGTTATATTTACATAATTCATTTAGATTTCAGTCAACTTTGCATGGTCTCAATATTGTGTAATTTATATTGATGTCATGAACCTTTCCACAATTTTTAAAACTATCTTGGCCTGGTGGCTTGCAATTTTGGAATAATTTCAAGTGCAAATTAGTTGATAAGAGTTTCTAAATGAAGTACTGTGAATGATACAGTATAAATACATTTGTATATTTCTAGAGTGCGTGGTAACATAGGTGTGCATAATTATATATAGTTATAAGTAGACACAATCTGCTTTCAGTCTATATGAACTTGAATACTGTCTGCTTGACAGCTAGTGTCTGTATAAGGGTATCTTTTCTGACAGTGCTCTTGTGGTAAGGTTGAATTTTTCAGGGAGTGCCAATATATAGCCATCAAATATTATACATTCCACTCCTTCAGATGTAAATAAATTTGTAAAATAAGAACTCGGTCCGGTCTCTGATTTCCCTGACCTCTCTAAATTAGATACCCGAATAATAAGTAAGTAAACAATTTTCATTATTCAGACCTTTTGAATCAGAGCATGAAAGCTTTCTTTTGGGGTGTTTTAATACAGGTCCCTGAATTGTGACGACCTGTCACTCCCGTTTGCTAGACACTACTGGAGTGGGTCGTGGTTACATTCCTTTGTTTAAAGTAACTTTATCTACGTGTACCCGGTTATTGTGATAACAGAAGGGATAAAATCCTGTTTAATAGCATGAAAATTAACATTGAAGTTAGGAGTCTTTATTTCATATTAAATTACATTAGAAAAAGATAAGATTTTTAAAATTCTGATTAATTAATGAAATGATTAATAATTCATTATTACAGGTGTCTAATTTAACTAAAAATAGTTAAAAAAAAAAAAAAAGAGCAATAAGCATTTTAAGTACAACTTTTAATTTTATAAACATTTTCAAAAAAAAACCTCCCCCCCCCCCCCCCCAAAAAAAAAAAAAAAAAAAAAAAAAAAAATATATATATATATATATATATATATATATATATATATATATATATATATATATATATATATATATTGAATAAAATTAACAGAAAATGTGTATCTTGAAAAAAAAAACAGTTAAACTCTTTCTTTACCATCTATCTTTTAATTTGCATCTTAATTGATCAAACTTTGCATCTTCTCATAAGAGTGGGAACTATTTGCTCTCAAACCTTGAGCATATGTTCAGGCTATCTCTGCAATATACTGTGCAGCTCATGAGGGTAATTCAATGCAACTGTAAAAATCTTCTTCTTCTCTTGAAATAATTATCCATTCAAGCATCTTTGTGTATCTAGAGCATATGTTTTATAACTCAGGTTCCACTAAGTTTGCGCAAGTAAATATTTACCCATTTGTACCACCTACTGCACACACTTAGACATTTATAAGATGAAAAGTCATTACGGGAAGTCAGAAAATCGGAAATGATGGGCCTTGGGTAATTTACAGCATATGGTTATTTTATTTATGAAATGAGATACAAGCAGTTCTCATTAATATACAGAATTAAAAAATTCTTAATAATATTTAAAGATACAATTATGTTATATGTATACCACATGTACCCCCAGATATTAAAGTTATGATTTAATGAATCATCACTCCTAAAGTCTGTAAATGAAATTTTTAAAGATTGAATTTAAAATGAAATTCTTATAACTCTTTAAAAGAAACTGTAATACTGTCCCTGTTAATAAGATTTCCAGCATGTTCATTAAAGCCTGGTGTAGTTTAATTATTCTTTTATAATATTTTTTTATCGTCCTTTTAGTAACATTATTGTAATACATGTATTCTCTTTCAGATGACCAAGAGGTTCACGGTGAACCTCCCTGGAGGTCAGAAGAAAGTCCTGCGGATCAGTCCCCAGTCCACTCTTGAACAGGTGCGGGCCCAGCTATGTCAAGAGAGGCAAATTAATCCCAGTCAACTCATGTTTCAGCTGCCCAACAACCCACGCCAACAACTAGGTCTTCAGACAACTATAGCAGAACTCCCCACCAGTGAAGTCAACCTTATTAGTGCTAATGGTAGGTAAATGGAGTGGGCCACTTGCCCGTAAAGGAATATTAGTAGAGTCAACCTATTTTGTACAAATTGTAGGTAAATGGAGTGGGCCACTTGCCCGTAAAGGAATATTAGTAGAGTCAACCTATTTTGTACAAATTCTGGGAAAATGAAGTGGGCCACTGGCCCAGTGGTGATGAATATAAAGTCAAGGCTACTAGTGTTGACTGTAGGATACAAAGTGGGCCATTTGCCTAGAAAGATGATTAAGTCTAGACAATTAGTGTTGACTGTAGGTATACAAATTGGGCCAGTGCTCAGTAATGTTTACTGTAGGTAAACAATATGGACAGTGACCCACATTTGAACATTTGTTAGGTCATTCTGAATATATAAGTTTTAAAGAAGAATTTAGAGACTAGTCTATACAAGTACAGAAGCTGATCAGTGGAATTTTAGTGAGGTCATTCCATTACCCAGAGTTCTAAGGCTAAGCAAATGGTGTGGGCACCTTAATGCCTAGTCAGGTCATAAAATAATGGGCAAGCCTTATTCATGTTTTATACATCACCTAATGAGTTCAACATTGAATTAAACCAGTAAAACTACTTGTGGTCTAGCTAGGTTAATTAATCAACTAAAATATAAAGTTGGCAAAACTGCAAAAAGTTAAACTTTCATGTAAATTTAGTATCCCAGTACTTATACAGCTTAATTTATTGATTTATGAAAAATATTTTGCAAAGGAAAGTATTCCTTTCAATGCAGATTCCATTGTGAAGACAAGATCATTAAATGCATTCTCAATCTAATTTGATTGTATGTATAAGTTAAGCAGATTTTTCTAAGACATTCCTTCAACATTTTGAAAAAGAAATTGTGACGTAATGTTTATAGAATTAAAATGGTTACAGAATTATCCGACCCTCTGAATGCTGTTAATTTAGATTCTTACCCTAGAATAGCCTTCTTTCATCACACTGTGTTTATGTTTTGGATCCTGGACAAAGTACATGAAATAACATAATAAATGCATGTTTGAGACCTACATCAGAGGGTTTTATTATACCAATCAAGATTTTGTTGCTTCTTTCTCAAAAGAATATCTTCATTTTTCAATAATTTCAAAAGTTGCACATATAATTAAGAGACCGATTAGTATAAAATAAACCTCTAAAATATGTGAGTAGCATATAACTTAATTTATAGAAAAAAAGATGAAAAAAAGTATCCTTTTAATATTAATATTTCAAAAGTGTGATATAACCATGAGATAATAAAACTGGATTTCTGCCATCCCCAATTACATTTGCTCTTTAATCTGCATATAATTAATCAAGTATAAATACATGTAATACTTAAATGATTTGCTGAAAAAGAAGTCATGAATGTTTGTATTAATTAAGAAAGCAGATATTACATTTAAGTCATATGTCCGATGTCCCTGAAAATTTAATTATTGTATTAATTATCCTGATCATACTGTTGATGGAGATGACACTGTTATTACATCGTGTGATTCCTAATCCTAATTCTTAGTATATATCTATAAATATATTTATCAGTAAATTTGTTCCTGGTGCAGATATTTTTCAAGAACAAATGAAATTCCTGATATATTCTAAGAATTTTCTTCACTGAATATCTGAAAAAAGTTGTGTCATTTAGTACATTACTTACATAACAGGCCATTACAGACATAATTCCTCAAAATGACATGATTAAAACAAAATCTACATTTAGTGAAAATAGAAATTTCACAAGTTCCCTGTAAAATATATTAAAATTTGAGATAAAAACATACAGTTTCCACACAAAGTGTTGAGTATTCCTTTATCACTGTGGCATATGACTGTGGTCAACTAACTGTTAAACACTTAGTACGACTTATTTTGTATGCAGTATTACAGGCATGTTAAGAGCTACGCTTCCTTCCTCCCAATTTCCCCGTCGTTTACATCATCTACTACACACTAGTCAAAACATAATAACAAAAGCGTCCAACATGTAACGACCTGAATAACCTTCTCTTTGTGTATCCCGGTGTAACCTTGACCATCATGGGGCAGTGTGTGAGCTCCCGGAAACCCCCTCCCCAAGGTGAGACCCACCAGGGATGTTTTAAGAGTCGTAGAAGAGTGTGTATGCTTGTTAGGGATAGTTATAACTTAAATATGGTGAGGTTTTTCATATAGAGGTAGGAAAAGAAATGTAAACTAAGCATTTAGATCAAGTGTTACCTGTGTTTTGAATTTGAAAAATAATGTAGTCAGCAATTGCTAATGTCTTGAAGTATGGTAATTGTAGGTAGAACAATCGTTTCATCGGGTGTCCTCCTGGGGCAGTCATTGATTATAATATACGAAATATACATCTCAAATTATTGTCATGTTTGCTTAGAATTTGATTTTTCTCAAACTTTTTTTTTTAAATTTTTGAAATTTAAGTCTGTTGTTTTGAGTCAAGATTGTATTTTAATGCATATATCTATAAAATTAATGTTTTAATTGTGGATATTATATAATCAGTTATATTCTGTGTGGTTCAATTCTAACATGGAACTCTTCTAATGACCTCAAAGTTTAGTAATGTTGAAAGTCAAGTCTCTTAGAAAGTTGTACTCGGAGTAATTAACATCTACCGCAAATGACAAAAGAAAAGTAAAGAAGTTGACATGAAATTTACATCCTTGGGAATTCTCAGCATTTAATGAAGAAAATTCTTTTAAATTCTGACATCTTTTTTCTGCAGTTATGCTTGATGGTGCCAAATCCATGCCCGATCTTTCTGTGGGGCGGAGCCAGTCCATGAAGACTGAGGCCCCCGCCCCCTACATGCCTATGGCTGGAGAAGGAAAGAAAAAGAAGGGCTTCTTCTCTTTTTTGAAAAAGGACAAGAAATTCACTGTTGTAAGAGTTTACGATTTATCTGTGACATTTCCTTGAAAGGTTGATTTAATTGGTAATTTTAATAATTGATTGGGGAGAATGAATTTAGGAGAGGAATCAATATTAGAGATTGTTTTAAAGAGTTACATGTAGATATTTTTTCCTGTCTATTATGATTGCATGTTGTTAATCAAGCAGTAATTGCTTACTGCATGTTGAATCTGAGATCTTCTCTGACTTGAATAATTCAAAATGACTAGTCACTGTATAATGTCATTCATGTATCAGTTTATGAAGCTTTGAAATAAAATTTTAGCTTTTGTATTTTATCTAGTCTATGCATGCTGATTTGAACCATGCAGGAAAAGCTCCACCCACCTCAAGTTCGCAGAGGGAAGGTGGTAGTCCACCTGCCACGAGGAGGAAGTTTGAGGCTACAGAACGCCCTAAATCAATGTTTGTGACGTCTTCCCCAGATGTGGCCGTTAATGGACCAAAAACGATGCCAACAGCCTCTAGTGATGTTGACATTCGGAATCGTGCAGCACCCTCTGTGCAAGTGAAACCTGAACCCTCTGTGCAAGTAAAATCAGCCCCAGCTCTTCAATCTGTGAAAGAAACTGCACATGCAGGCCCTCCAGTCAAATCAGGAAAGAAGAAACGTGCACCCCCACCACCTCAAGTTAAAGCCCCTCCCCCTCAAACTGTAGTGACGACAGAAATCATGATAGAAAAACAGACGATGCCTTCTCAGGCGGAATCAAGGATCCCAGAAATCACATCATCCAATCAACAATTAGCTCAGAAATTACATTCCAGGAACAGTTCCGATTCTAGTGGTTATCACGAACTTACACTAAGTGGGGCGGAATCGCCCGACACAGCCAAAATAGAGGAAAATTTAGAACTTAAATTGAATGCAGATATTACCTCAGGAGGGGGACCTAAAAATAGTGGGGATAGTGGCATACGGGATATGTCCTCCCCTAGGCGTAAAGTACGACCTGGTATTGAAACCATGGATACGGGATCAAGCCAAACACTGCCATTGGATAAAGTAGGGAAGAAGGAAATTTCAAGGACAAGGTCATTAGAACGACCTGCTGGTGCTAAGAAGAAGAAGGCCCCGCCCCCACCCCCAGGTAACCAATTACCGAGTACTTTACAAGATTTCAGGTGTGACGAGTAGGCTTTCGTTTCTTTCGATGCAATCTGATTTTTCAAATCATGCAGTTTGAAATTCAAGCAAAAATTACAATGTAGTAATTAGAAATTAGTGTACCATAGTATTGTAGAGGGAAAAAGTTTGATTAATTGATTTTCTTTCAAATGTCAGTTTCTAGTACTTGTAAATTGTACTTGCTAGAAAAATATTTTAGTCATAGAGTAGAACCAGAAATTTCTTTCAGCTTCAATTCATTCTGCCTTCAAATATATTAATATCTCACAATACAATTTACTCAGACAACTTAATCATTTCATATGTACATACCTAGAACCCACATTTTACTTTCTTGACTGACTTTACAATGCTTAATTAACTAACATACAACATTTTCACTGGTAGTGTGGACTTTCATTTGATGCTGACAAGCAAGATGAAGTATAAAGCTATTTATAGTTGAAATTGCAGTGGAAAGTGGCATTGACCGAAGTCCTTTGAAATTTAGGACCTTTCCAATCTTATCACTTTGATCAGATGGAAAATATACTTCAAACATTACCATTTTGCTATTCCAGTATAAAGTATAAGCTAGTCATGGATCAGCTCCCACAGAAAGTCCAAGCTATTGATGAATTTGTTGTAATTCAGTGGAGAGGGGTACTATTTTTGCCGTGTTTTGTGGTTTTTTAGAGTGCTCTGTTTTTCTTGCACCCCTCTCTCTAGGTCAAGCTCCACCCTCTGTACCGTCATCCATTTCTCAAAAGACAGCTATCCCCAAACCCGCTCGGAAATCCTCCGATACCTCTACAACCCCAGCTGCTACCTCTTCCCCTCGACCCACCGCTCAGAAAAGTAAGTGCTGATTGGTTAGTGACCTGGGGTCACAGGTCAGGAGTGACCTGGGGTCACAGGTCAGGTGTTTCGTAAGAGAACAGTAAGTAACGATTATAGTCCAAGTAGCCAAATTTTCAAGAGAAAAAAGAGAGAGAGATATTCTGAAATATCTTTTTATCTTTCTTGGTTATAATTAAGTTATTTAGTATGAGAGAATAATTTCTCAGTAAAGGGAATGTCTATTTTTTTCCCCATTTATTAAATCAAGTAAATGTTTAGCTTTTATTGAGTTATTTCTATTTTCTTTAAAAAAGTTTTGAAGCATCTTAATTAATTCGGTATACTAGTATCAAAGAATCATTATACAAATATAATCAAAGAAATTTTGCTTTATCAATAACTGTTTACATTATGGTAAATTGCAGTTACTTCTTCATTTCATAATCAGATGCATGTTTCTATGTCATAAGCTGCTAGACATAATCAGAATAAAAGCTAATTACATGTTTAAATAAAATTTTGATTCATGAAGCTAGATTGAAATTCACCACTGCCACCAGAGTCATGTTTTTTCTTCTGCTGATATTTTGCTTCCATACTTCGATAATCATTTCGCAAAATTTTGAATCACGGGCACTTTCACATATCAAATTACGAGTACTTATAGTCTTATACCATATGACAGATATATCAATAATTTTAGTGAATAATTATATCTATTTTTTGCGATACAGAGGATGACGCTGTAGCCATCCATGCAGTTTTGGATGACCTTGACAATCACCTTGGCGACGACACGGAGGAAGATCAGATGATGATGGTGGAGAACGGAGATCTGACGGTGGAAGAAGTGGATCAGCCACGATCGCTCCGCCCATGTGCCTTTGTAGCTCCGCCCCCTCCCGATGAACCACCTCCTGAAGACGGAGAAATTGTACATTACAGTGACATCATGGGGGTCAAGGTCGATACCGTGGATATTGGCACGGAAACCAGTGACGACAGCGCCACTTTCGATCAAGGAAGTCCAAAAAGTTCTCCAAGTATGTATATCTCTATAAGTTACATTCAAGATTTATATATTTAATACATTCCTATTTAAATAAAGGTAAGTACAAATTTTGGAGGAGATTTTATAAACACACATCAATATATATATATATATATACATCAATTTCTTTCTTGTATTCAATGAAAGCCGTACGTACCACCATCTAAGAAAATATATTTTTCTGCTCACATACATCATCTTATTTCTATGCACAGAGATGTCTGAACTTTTTAGCATTATAATTTTTGGAATGTTAGTGGCTGGGGTAAAGCATTCTTAAAATTTAATAGGACTAGAATAGCTTTTCTTTCTGGTAAGGAGGGTGCAAGGAAAATTAAGACTCATCGTAGGATAGTCTCAAATACTTTTTCTTCAATCTTTAGATCATGTAGTTCAGAAATTTAATAGTATTTCCTTTATAAGGTTGGGTGTGCTACAAGGTGTCTTCTTTTTTTTTTTTTTTGATAATTATTGACGACATTTGATATAATATGTATTGTACATGCTTAAGAGGGTGACTTGCAGTGAATATTTTGTACTGTATTTTTCAGCATTCATTAATGGCTTTGCCTTTAGTAGTGGTTAGAATGCAACATATTATTCATTTTCACAATTTTTGAATTTTTAGAGTTTCAGTCAGGCATCAGGCACACAAGTAAGCTAATTATGAAAGCTTGAGTTATAATATAATTTTTGTTGTTTTATATATGACCCATGTATCACTTAACACTATAAGACACTGTATAGAAAAATCAGCCAATCACATTACAAGATTGCATTTAACCCTGGCTTCTATAATCAACAGTATCAAACCAACAGTTAAGTTTTTTTGTTTTCATTAGATACGACTCCATCACATCTTGTACAATATTTGTTGTCACTCGTAACCTACATCAAACTACATTGCTCTAACTATCTTAAACAAATTAGTGTAAGTTAATTAGTGAGAATAAAGTTTATTTTTTTTAATACCGGTTAATGTAGTGTTATAACACTTTTAGTTAAAATCACTTTCAAGCTAAGCATAAAAGTGAATACAATGCAGTAGCAATTAACAAACAGTATACTGTATTACATGAACAATGTATTCCTTACTTATACGCTAGAACTGGCTTCATTTAACTGTAATTAAATGGGGCTATGCAAATATTTACCAATATATGACACATCATAAAAATCACCTTATTAATGTTCACTTATATCTGTTACATTTATAACTCTTGATATTCTAATATTACTAAACAAAACTGGTATTAGGTTACTGTTGCATTGCTGTTATTTAGTAACATATGCAAGTACAATTTTTTTGGTAAATTGCATGTCGCATGACATATTATTTTGTCATTACACTAAAATATTAATGGCAAATTATTATTGCATTACAAAAGTTTGGTTTAAGTGTCTTTCAAGACATTAAAGAATGCTATATACTAAAATATGTTATAAATTATTTTATCATTAAGGGAAATTTAATAATTATACTGTTATTAAAATTCCTTCCTGGTGCACTAAAGCATGTTCACATGTTCAGTGTTTTTGAAATGAAAAGGAGGAAAACATTCTAGAATTTAGCAGGTAACATATTTCCAATTTATATTGGTTGAATGTATAATTTGTAGTCAAGAGACCTGCAGCAAATTCACTTTAATTGTAATTGATTGGACAACATAGACTATTTGATTGGTTAAAAAGTATGTATGTAAATGTAAAGAACTGTTTGATTGGTTAAAAATTCAAAGTAACACTGAACATGATTGGTCAATATCTTACCTCTGTTATATTGCTGTTGTATCTCTAAGAGCTCATCTGGAGAACCCCAAACTTGAACTTGACAAAAATTTATGACAGTAGCTAGCAATAAATTAAAAATTTGAACAGTTTTAAACTGCAGAAAGACAGTAAAACTGAAATATGTGCAGAAATGTAATCTGAACTTGGAGTCCAAAGTGACTATTAAGTTCAATTGGGAAAGGGGGTGAGGGGATTGAAAAGAAAGCTTGAAATATTTGAACTCCCCCCTCCAGATGAGCTTTGGTGGGACCCCTGCTTTCTGTTGGTTTATATGTCTCCTGTTGCCCCACAGTGCATAGTCGAGCGGAAAGTCGGACAAGCATGACTTCTGTTACAACAATTGAGGAAATCAACATGGGTTTTGAGATGGCCATATTGGCAGGACAGGAAGCCATGTTGGAAGAGTCCAGTGAGGAAGGTATAAAAGTAGTCCCCAACTGCTAACCTGCTGGGACAGGTGTAAAACTGGATATTTTGACATTCAAGTGTGGTTTGAATATTAACATGTGTTTTGTGTGCTCTAACCTTGCACAGGTCATATTTTAATACATATAATATTCTTGAAATATCTATTCAGCACTAATTCTTGCATGAAACAGAATAACCTACATATCTATATTCATCCATCTCTTTATACAGGGTTAGGTAAGGAATAAGTATTTATACACCTTACTCATGGTTGAAAATTTGCAGAAAGAAAAAAAATTGTGTATTTGCATTTTAAATTTAATTCTTAATGAGAATGCAAGTAATTTAAATGTATTAAATACAAATATAGTATTTCACATCTATATGTCATATGGGAAAAAATATGTCTTGGACAAACTGCAATTCTAAGATGTAAATTTTGAACATGTACAGTATGTACTCAATTGGATACAAAAAAATTGTCCACATTTAACCAATGCCACCAATCAATGAAATACACTTACAGTAGCTCACTCTGTTTGACCTAAACTATAATCCTAGCTATTATCTGCTAGTACTAGCTGATATATTCAAATATGGGGTACTTACAATTGTGTGATTTTTGGTTATTATACGTGTGTGCTCGTAACATAAAAAAATCATATATGGCCTCTACTTTTTAAAAGAAATAGGAACAGTATGGAATACCAAAGCATAAACTAAAAACTGTGCCAATACTGATGTAATTATATCTTGTCAAAGCTGTCATCACTGAATGTAAAATAGTTTGTCAAAATGATATCTTCACAAATGTACAGTTTTTAAGTGTCCATGATATACAGTCAAACTTCAGTGATCCAGACACTGATAATCTGGTCACTTCACCTTCCAGATGAAATTACAATTATGTCTACCAATTATAAGCTATTTTTCAGTAATCCATATACTATCAATCCGGATGATTTGTTAAGGAACATAAGGATCTGGATAAGTGAGGCTAGACTATATATTACCAATAGCAGACAAATATACATGTATAAGAAACAATGTTTAAGATTTGTTACATTTTCCTGCCTATTTTCAGATGAAGAGGAATACAAGAATGAAATGGCCCACTTTGTTGAAAGAATGAATAAAGAGGTCATTAACCAGAAAGTTCCAGAATCAATCCAGCCAGAACCGGATTCAGAATCCAGACAAAAGATCTCAGCAGAAGAAGTGAAACTGGATCTCCAGTCTTCAAGTGATGAAGGTTCAGCAAAGCCAAGTCCTCGAGAAAATAAAAGCAATGCCGAGGGTGACCAGGAGGTGTCTGAAATTACGTACAGCTTTACTGTGGATGCAGTTCCTCCTGAATTCCAAGAGACTGAAGAGGTCAAAGGTCAGAAGAATGAAGAGGAGGAAGAAGAAGAAGAATACACAGAGACAATTACTACAGAGATTATTTACACAGATACTGTTTCTGAGGTTATTTACCCACTTTCTTCTTCAGATGGACTTGAAAGCCCAAGAAAGATTCCTGATTTGGATTCCCCTAAAGAACATGCAAAGCCAGTAGTTTCTGTGGAAAAGCCTAAAGAGACTGAAACGGTTGTAGAGAAAGTTAAAGAAGAACCTCAAGTACAAAAAGTAGACACTGTTAAAAAAGTTCAAGAGCCCAAAGTTGCAAAACCTGAGGACAAACCAAAAGTCAAGCAGGAGAAAGAGGAGTTTGTGTTAACATTTGACGATTTACAAAATGTTGATTTCACAGGACCAAAGAAGAAGAAACCACAGACTCTGAATCTAAAACCAGAGCCTAAGCAGCCAGCAGAGGAAGTGAAAAGACGGTCAGGGAGAAAGTCCCCTGCTGTTGTAACTTCTCCGGTGTTAGTCTTGGAGGAACTCCGATCTCGATTCAAGTCCGATGGGGATGAGAACGTATTGATCACCCCACTCAGAGAAAGCAGGAATGGAAGTATTAAAGACAGATGTAATGAGCTAAGTTTCACTCCCAGTTCCGAAGGGGAGCAAGAACATGTGATGGAAGAGAAATCTATTTCATTCATGAACTTCCCTGTCATGAGAACATCTGGCCAGGTCTCCCAAAAGGAGGACAAAATTGTGATTGAAAAACTCAATCTCTCTAAAGATGTTACTGATGGTGTTTCAGAGCCAGAAATTGTGAATAGTGATATTAATGAAGACAGTGTAAATAACAATGAATCTGCTCCAAATTCTGCTCGTGATAGTGTGAGTAGTAAGTCTTCTCAAAATTCCGCTCGTGATAGTTTGAACAACAATGACTCTGCTCCAAATTCTGCTCGAGATAGTGTGGCCAGTATAGAACAAGAGGTAGACCCACTGGAGCAGATGCAACAACAATTCCAAATATGGCAAACTCAGTTGGAGCAAAATCAAAACCTTCTTGCATCTCAACCTGTTCCAACTGATGAAAACTCTCTACAACTGCAAAATCAGCTGAAGAGCCAAATTGAGATTCAAAAACAAATGCTTGCTCAAATGCAGAAAAGCATGGAGACACTAGCAGCCCAAGCCCAAACTAAGCCAAGTGATTCTCCCAGAAACAGTATAGATAAGACAGAAGTGTCTAACAGACAGGACACAGTTCCTAGCCCCCCTGTTATGCCACAGATGAGGATGAAATCAGATTCTTTGGACAAAGAAAAAAAGTCCAAGAGGAAGAGCGGTAAGAGGTTTGAACCCAAACTGGACCCAAGGGAAGAGCTGATGCTTCAGATTAGGAACTTCCAAGGAAGAGGGGGACTCAAAAAGGTTACTTGCAGTTTTTTGTTTATTTTCTCAGTTGATAAGGTATCAGAGTCTGCTACTTCAATATCTTAATGAAAAAAAAAAAAATGAAATCTTCAGACATCTTTTTTTAAAGAAATAAAATACTCTGCAAACATACACATGGTATTTGAATGCAATAAGTGCTCGGTAACGTTTTCAAAATGATTTTTTTTTTTCAACAATCATCTTTGCTTTGTAGGTTCCAGTGAAAAAAACAAAATGGGTGTCTGGTCCAGGTGTCAATGAGTAACCATGGAATCAAGGGTTATAACCATAGCAATATAGCAACAGGGATGGCCAATCAAGAGCAGATGTTTGTATGCATCCATCTGCTTCATGCTGAAATAACATCTGGTGAGAAATGGTGGAGCAGAATGCTGTGATGATTCAACAGCAGAGGTCAATTGGGGGGTCAAAGGTTAAAGGTCCATGAACCAGAGAGTGAGAATGAGGCAAACCATGGGTGTCATTGTCATAAAAAATGAAATGATAAACAGAACTAGAATTGCTAGAAATGAATTATTTTTGTGATAGTATTTTATACTACAAAAGGTTAACATGATTGATGAGGCATATTTATATAATATTCAATTTTTAGCAGTCTTCCAAAGAATTTGATCATGGTTACATTACATTTAATTGTAATTTAACATTCATACAAACATTCACAAGATGTTTATTTTTCATCTCCTTTTTGTTCACCAATTATGATGAAGGATGAAGCAAATGTGTACTGTTTTTACTTTTGTATGCAATGTTTATGTATGTTTCACAAAGAGGAACAAATCAAAGAATATAATTTTTTTATATAATTTTTTTAAATTATATGGCAGAAGTTCAAACCACCAAATAATGGTGGCTTTTGTATTCAATTTGAACCCTCAGCAAAGAGAGGTAACTCTTGAATTATTCACTGTTTCCTTAATAGTATTTGTCCTAGTAATTGGTATAAATTTTCCAGAATTAATCTGTATCTCTGTTAAACTTTGTCAATATATACCACAAAAAAGCCCATTTTAAGCCGAGGGCCTTTTCTTTATTGAGGTATATTTTTATAATCTTTATACAACATTATCCTATTATTGATAATCAGCATTTTTCAACTGTAAAAAAACGTTTTTGTAGCAAAGATAATCGATATTTAATGACATGATGTCCAAAGTTATGGCATTTCTCTTTTTTTTTTTTTGTATATAAAAAAATATTCCAAATGTATATTTTGTTAGTGTACTGTAGATAGAATTCTTCATTATGCATTTGCTATTCAAATGTTTCAAACAAAGTGCAATTCCATTTGACCTGTTTCATCTCTGACAGTTCGATCATTATTATTTTTTTTTAATTTGTTGTTTTAGATGTGCATATGTACAATATATAAACGAGTGTTCATTTAGACCAAACATATTGTGTATATAACCACAGAGTGTCAGGTAGAGTGACATCAAGTAATGCCAGTATCTCAATAATAATTTTTTTCGGCTTGAAAATCCAAAGGTAAGGAAATGGATTTTCACATTTCGTAGTTATAATTGGTTCTGTAAATAGTTTATATGTACAAAAAAATATATTTATTTATCTGTGATGTAGAAAAAAGATTAATTGGGCATGTCCACACGTATAATCAGATACTACATGTAATATATTTTAATAAGAATTCAAACTTTAAAGCTCATTTGTGCTGTATGTTTTAAATTTGGAAAAATAAATTCAATTGATATGTTTTATAATATATTTTTGATATTTGAAGGGAATATTGATGAAATTGATTAATTTTGACAAATATTTCTGTCATTTTTGATCTTCAGATTTTTTTTCAAATTAATATATTATGTTCAGTTTTAACATTTTAAAGCTCGGATTTGAATCTGAGGCTTTGGGATTTTATGAGAATTGAATTATGGGTAAATTAAATATTTGACACAATATGTAACATTAACTTAATCCATATCCACTCAGCATACACTGTTGCCAATGAATAATCACATGTCATTATTATATTTTTATTTGTATATTATTATTATTAATTGCATACACAATGTATAATTATATTGAAGGCTTTGTGAAAAACAGAGTCATTAAAAGGAGAAATTTTATACAGAGAGTTTTTTTTTTCAATTCACTACAGTAAAACATACTTATAATGAAGTGCCAGGGGCAGACGATTTTGCTTCGTTATAAGCGTAATTCGTTATAACCAGTAAGTTTAAAATGTATTTTAAAGTCAAGGAGAATGAAAATCACTTTGCTGTAGGCATCAATTCATTATAAGCATGTTTTACTGTATTACCTTTATTGCATATTCATAAGAGAGTACCTTTATTGCATATTCATGAGTATACCTTTATTGCATATTTATAAGAAACAGCGTCTAATGTGACCCTACCCTATCCTAAGGAACCATAATTTGAACAAATTCAATTTGCTGCATTTCAACAAATCTGATCACTAATATTGGTCCTGTTGTTGTTGAAAGATTGTTTCAAGACCCTCTTCTCCAATATATTTGCACATCAAACATTAATCCCCTGTTGTGGCCTCATCTTACCCCTGGAGAGCCTAATTTGAACAAACCTGAATATGCACTAACTTGGGATGCTTACATTTCAACATTACTAATTGTGACCTTTGGTTTTGAAAGAAAGATTACTCCCTTTATATATCCATATAAGCATTAATCCCTTATTGTGGCCCCACCTTACCCGTTGGAACCATGATTTGAACAACTTAAATCTGCACCAACTGAGGATGCTTACCACCATGGACCATGATTGCAACAAACTTGAATCTGCACTACCTTAGTCTTACGATGATTGTAGTCGCCCGCGTGGCGCAGTGGTGAAAGCTTCGGAGTAGTTAGTTAATCTTTACGTCGCGGGTTCGAATCCACTGCGGGACGTAGAGACCGGTCCTTCAGATGAGACCGTATAAACCGATGTCGCAGTACGTTTTGACACGAAAAAGATCCCTCACTGCTCAATGGCCCTCAATGCTGAGTATAGAAATATATTTGCAGCCCCACCGGCAAGTGGTGGCGTCTCCACATGAGTGAAAAATTCTCGAGAGGGGACGTTTTAAAAACAACAAACGATGCTTGTATGTTACTATGACTAATCAAAGTCCTGCTGTTTTAGAGAAGGTTTTTATTTTCTTTTATTTATAATTCAAAATTAAACAATCTCCCTATTGTCCAAAAATAAATCTAACTCCAGGAGCCCTGATTTGAACAACCTGAGGATGTTTGCATATTCTATGGCTTATCGTTGCCTTGCTATTAAATTTTTTCCCCATACATATTTTTATATAAACGGGCACCTAGACGGAGGACAGACTTGGACCAGAAAAACTTACGAAAACACTTCTACACTCAGGTGAGCTAATAATTAGCTAAAATTGCATTAATTTTGCACATGGGTGTGTGATGTATACACTAGGTGATGTACATAGGAAGATGTAGGAAAGTGGCTGCCGCCGAGATTTTCATTATGAGATAACTACCCAGTCCACCTTTCATAGTGAAGGTTTTTTTTTTTGTTTTTTTTTAAAGTGATTTCTAATTGGTATATAATTAATTATATAATTATCATGTTGTAAATTTTGAATTTACTAGGGGGAGGTAAATGCAAAATTTACACCATGTAAATTTTGCATTTACTTCAAACCCTCCACTCCCACCCCCACCCCTAGTAAATTCAAAATTTACAACATGATTTAATTATGTAAAAGGAGGATTAACTTTTGATAACATTCTGTTTGACATCTTTTATCATAATCTGTAATATTCTAGACAGTCACACATGTTTTTTTCTGCAGTAAACAGCGGATTGATATCCATATATAAATCATTCGAAATTTGTCAACATGCTAAACATTCAAAACAAGTTATATACTAAACGTATCTTGTAAACTTTTTTTCTGTCGTCATTGTGCATCATCTATCACCCTCAATTCCCCCTCCCAATTTATAATCAAGCATGTGGTGCACTTTGTTTAAAACTAATATTAGTAAAGAACACCATGCAGTATTGATTTTACGTATCTGTATAATTCTTAATACAGCTGTAATTATATACATATATGAGGGCTGGTTGTCAGGATATTGTATTTACTGTGGTTTTTCTTCTTTATTTTTTTAAATGCTTAATAAAATAACTAAAATTGAGAACTGAAAACTGTTGAGCTGATATGAGCAGTTTTGCTAAGATACATATAGTGACAGCGGTTTTCGATATTGATTTTGAATTTTTATATTGATAGAAGCAGACATTTATAGAATAAATAAATTAAACACAACATCCTGAAACCGAACCCCTGTGGCAAAAAAGGAGACGACGTACATGGATGAATGGACCTTATGCAAAGAGCGATAACTCTAATATTGATTTGAACAATTTTTTCCGTAAACTGTGATTCTCGTCTTCATAATTTCATTGTTGTCTAAAAACTTGTCCTCATTATCCGAAATGGTCTATATCAGTGCGAACTAAAAATATGTTAAAATTTTACAAATTTTCAATTCATATGACTATGAAAAATGAATTTTAAAGAAAGATAAACTCAAAATGTATATGGGCAAACAACAAAATTCTAATTTATAAACTCTTATTTTGCTTTACTTGATACTGAGCACAACACCACATCCTCCCAGCAAACCTTTAATCATTTTGACTGCATGGCGGTAGGAAAAATATCCAGTTGATCATTAAAGGCAGAGAAAGAATAGAAGTTGTTTTTAATATTTAAAGTGTAAAAAAAACAACAACTCAGTTTTTAGTATAATGTACGTATATCTATGAAAATGCCTAATCAGAAAATATTGAATGCGTCCGTATAGATTTCATAGTTATAGGTCAGATCGAGGGAAAGTTTTGAATTTTTTAAACCTTAATATGAATTCAAATATCAACAATTTAAAAAAAAAAAGAATTTTAGTTTAATTCTAAGGATCAACATTTATTATGGGCTTGAATTAAATACGTACATGGACAAACAAATGAAATGTCGGCATTTTTTGCTATCGATTAGATATATCTACAACAAAAAAGGGGGGCAACATATGCATACCTATAAATAAACACTAAACAATTATGTTTGGAAGTAAGTTTGGGGGGGGGGGGCGTTCAGACCTAAGGGCATTTCTAATTTATTCTAAAATATGTCTTTTTGACTCTTTTTTAATTTTCATTAACTCGGAAGTCCTGTATATACCAAACAGTACAAAATTATTCTCAAATCTTGGGAACGAAAGACACCCAAGGAACCATAACTTTTACAGGGGCATGGACACAGATTTGAAGGTAATATTTTCCCAAATTTTCTGTATAATATCATGACTTATATGTTGCTATAGCATTTCACAAGGAAATATAATAAAAGTGTGTTCAATTCAGAAACTTCTTTTATCTGGAAATTATTGAAACTACGAATTTCGGGACGCGTTTGATTGACACATCCTTGCACTTTCACAAAGTAAACTTTATCCTCAATACAGTACTTAAGAAAAATAGAAATTTTGCTGTGTATTAATAAAAATATTAAAACTATAATTCAGAAAATTCAGAGTAGAAATGTGAGAAAACCACCTCACCAGTATTGTCAGTTCGTGTTCGTGTTCAGTGATGTGTGCAGAGTTTAACAAATTGAACACACCCGGTGAAACGTAAACATTAACAGTAACAGAGCTCATGCCCTGTTTACAAAAACAGATGTTTGACGTGATGTTAAGAAGAATGTCGTCGTCATTGAATTCTAAGAATATTCATGTAAGTTCAATTCATTTAATTGGTTTTATTTTTTGAATAAGCAAAGAAATTTAAAATGTAAACAATGCAACTGAGTCCATACCCCTTTAATATCTCTGACGTGTGTTTCCACTCAATAAAATACGTAGAAGAAAATAGAATGTATTTAATTGAACAGTGATTGCATGGTTTATTGAAATTAAACATGTTATATTATCGTACTGAGAGACAGAATTTCAATTTCCTAGTGCTGATCCACCTATGCAATATCCAAACTCTGCACTGATGTTGACATTTTTATGTCAAAATGCTGAAGAATTCACAGTTTTCGAGTCAAGACAGTTCCTCTGCATGTTACATTTTTATAGTTTGCACAGCAGTATGAGTAATTCAAAAATTAATTATTAAAGTTAAGAGATATTTCAGATTTAATTTATTTGTGTTTTAATATAGAATGCAAGATAATGTTCAAAATCAATACAACCCGCATCGTTGATACGATAAAATGAAGTTTTATGTAAAATACAGATTAAGGTTCAACATCCTTCTGCTCATTCATATAAAATTTTTCCATAACGCTTATGATTAATATACAAAAAATGTAATTTATTATTAAAATGCACATAACTTCAGCATATCTTGCGGAGCTATATTTGAGAGAAATGACCTTTTAACTGTTTTATTATGAAATAATTAAAGTTACTTATACTAGTTAGAGTTATCTCTCTTAAATCAGAGTATCGAGGAACCTTAACGTGCCATACAGTTACAACTTTGAAAATATGAATTTAAAAATAAAGTGTTGGTACTTTACCATATTTCTGGATCCTTGTATAAGAGGGTACATGTAAGTATTTGTACTTTCAAGTAAGAAAACATTAACTGAAAACTCTCTCTCTCTCTCTCTCTCTCTGACTTCATTCTCGAAATTTGACTTGTGCCAAACAAATTCAGGTATATGTGCGCACAAGTTAAAATAATTAGGCAAACTTAAGACCGGGGTTGGGACATTTTCTATTAAAATTAATTAATTCTGCCATCTTTTGGAAACGTTAATATCTGAGATGGATAATTGGCAACTAAAAGAAAACTAAACACAGTGTCGAATTTATGCTTCAAACAAATTTTTAAAACGAACACGATTCCATAATAAATTCACAAACAGCAAGAGATACGTTTTCAAAAGTGTTGCGCCGACAATTATTTTGTGAGATTCGTTTACCTGAGAGAAAAATGTTATTTATAGAGATATTTTATTGAAATTTGTATGCGTTATTCAAAAAAAAATTTTTAAGAAAATGTTTGCGTTTTTCTGCGACAACCCTCGTGTATATATGCAATATTTGACCCTGACTTAAGGTAACTCAAATCCAGGGTCTATAAGTAGGGGGGAATCAATCCACAAAACTTTGAAATATTTGCAAATTAATGCAGCTAATGCAGATCTTGAGGAGATTTTGAATATTTTTCTTAAATAGTCCACTGTAAAACTTTGATTCCCTATTGTGACCCAGCCCTACCCTCGGGGCCCATGATTTATACAATTTAAAATTTATATTATGTCAAGAAGCTTTCACATGTTTCATCTTTTTCTGGTAAGATTTTTAAAGATTTGTTCCTATATATTCTAATGTAAATATTTGATCCCATATTGTAGCCCCAACCTAAAATTTAATCCCCCTTTTGGCCTCAACCATACCTCTGTGGGCCTTGATTTGAACAATTTAGAATCTACTTTATGTCAATAAGCTTATACATGTAAGCTTCATCTTTTCTGGTCCAGTGGTTTTTTGAGAAGAAAATGATAATTTAAAAAATCCTGTTTATTCCAATACTGAATTAAAGTTTGATCCCCTTTGTGGTCCTACTCTATCCACAATGCACGGTCATGTTTAAACAATTAAGAATCTACTCTATATTGTATGTCAGTAAGCTTACATAATAATGTCATCTTTTCTTGTCCAGTGGTTCTTGAGATGATGTTTAACGATTTTTTCCATATGATATATATTCCGATGTCAGCTTTGATCTCCTTTTGTGGTCTCACCCTACCCCCATGGGTCATGATTTAAAAAAATATTTAGAATCTAAACTACCCCAAGAAGTTTTCGCACAAGTTTCACTTTTTCTGGCTCAGTGGTTCTTGAAAACACCTCGTCATTATTTAGTTATTATTAATTTTTTTTAAAACTTTCTTGACTGCCTCCCCTTGGAAGAGAGCTTGGCCCTTCATTTGAGTACTTTAGACTCCCCTTTACCCAATTATGATTTGTGCCATCTTTGGTTAAAATTGGTCCACTGGTTCTCAAGAAGAAGTCGAAAATAGACGGACGGACGGAAGCCGAACAATGGGTGAGCAGAAAAGCTCACTTGAGCTGTCAGCTCTGGTGATCTAAAACTAAGATGAAGATGGGCGAATACCTTTCATTAGGGGGAAAATGAAAAACCAGACAGTGATTTTAAATTTCAGAGTAAATGGCCATTCTTTTGAGTTTGAAAGTGATAGAAACAGAAATATTACCAAGAGACTTGGATGTTTAAGGTTTGTAGTATATGTTATATGTTGAACTATATTTCTTTCTTGATTGTCAATAAACTCCACATAATCTCTAAAATTGGTAATAAAAACCCTAGCCTTTTAAAAGATTATTAATTAATTTAAGCAATTCTAGAGCTGTGAAAGAAAATTGAAATCCAGTAATCCGAAATATTCGTCAGCAAATTACAGATTTTATAAAGACCACATCGCTCTGTCTAATTTTCCATATCCATTGTACAATGCATATTATAAATTGTATTACATATAATATTTATTGTATTTGGTATTTAGTATGTACATGCATAAACATGTAGTTGCTCGGCTCATATGGAAGTAATATGCTGATAATATGAATAATGTAAATAAAAGCATCAGGGGGTCTACCCCTAAAAAGATTAACATCCGTTTTGTATGATAATGCGTAATTTATGTTACAAATATCGGTATGAAGTATATAATGGCATAGGAACCAAAACTGACTTTCAAAATTCTCGAATATTTCTATACTTCTGTCCATGATAATGTTGCTTAAATATCTAATTTCATTGTTTCTTGAAATTAATACAGTACACCTTATGCGAAGTTAAACACCGTTACGGGTAGCATGTAACTCAGTCCAGGGGTGAACTGGTGAAAGGTCTGTACAATTCACCCTGTGGCGAGTTTATGGTAAAGTTCTGTTTTACGTAAAGAGAAATAAAGTGATGTATTTTGAACCATAACCCTTCAAAACAAGGGAAAGAAAATTCTACGTAGGTGAAAATCTTGGACCCGCCCCCGTGAATGACGGGTTAAGAGCCCGCTTCCTTATGTAATATTGATTAACGCCATCGGGGGTCGGTTTAAGATTAACGCGCTACATCGCGTCTTCTCGCCACCCAATTCTCTTCGCATATCGTCACCCTTTATCAAACAGTTCAGCCATTGTTTACCTGCGGTATGGCGATTTAAAACGCGCTTCCAGCTATCCCAGTCAAAATCTAATGATAATTCCATAAACCTTCCAAATACAGTGGTTGAAAGTGATTAATCAACACGTTTCTCGCTAAAATGAATGTTATTTTGACCTTTGACCTACAGTCCGGGGAGAAAAATGTAAACAAACAAGGGCAGGTACATATGGAGCACAGGTAAGTTAAAGCAAGTTTTCCATTCATAAGTTTGATTAACAAAGCTAATATTCTTCTATTATCCAAATGTGATCCTGTTTACACAATTTTTGGGCCGTGACTAAAACTTCGGTGAGGGAGAATTTTTTTTTATTTCTCCTCGCGTGTGTTCAAAGTTTCCCCCCATTGCAGACGACATCTGTGATTAGGCACACACGTGAGGAAACGTTACTGGGGAGAGAAAGAGAGCAAATGGAGGCAGCAATTTTCCCATCTTTTTCCTCCTTGCGTTCTAGTGCATGGCAATAACACGACCAAAGCGCTTGAGTAGGTACAACCAACATGATGTAGGTAGAATTAACGCTTGGATTTACACGGGAATAAGAAAAACCAAAGTTACTGTGTTTAACAGGAATTTACCACGGTGCCCCTTAAACATCGCGTTTAACAAAGGAAAACCTCTTTATTTTGACTGAGGAAATCTGGGAAATAAACGTGTATTTTAAATACTGAAAGGTAAGAGGTGTAATTCTTTTTATTGGATTGTGTTGATCGGTTTAGAGTGTTAATGTTGATTTTTAGCCTTTTCAGTGCAAAGTTTGATAGATATTTTGACGTTTTAATGTTTTTTTAAACCCTTGTCAGATTGTGTTTTCGAGAGATTTGTCGAAAAAAAATTTAATACCGATTTACGTCTTTCTAACTGTTATTATTCCGTGATGTGAAATTAGGATCATATGAAAGTTTTACTCTACATGTTATCCAAATAAAAAAATCAATAATCAAACAAATAAAGTTAATGTATGATCAAACATACATAATTATAGCCACTTGTTTATAAACTTTTATGAGTATATTTCGTATAGTATTCTACATTCTTTAGCTGTGTCATAATGTAACAGTAAATTTTGACTTTATCGGGTGACAGGAAATACAGATTTTTTTTCAATATGACAACTGCCAATAAATTCAAAATTTACAATACTGTATGACAACTAGCAGTTAATTAACCCAAAACCTTACAATACGACCCCCTCCCCCCCCCCCCCCCCCCGCAAATAAAATTGTAAATGTCTAGTGCTAAAGCTTCAATGTATCTTGGACCATACCCTTCCCTCATCTATAAACCTTTCACCATGACCCCCTGCTGAAAAGAAAATATACATGCAGCATAATCATTTCAGCAATGACCTAACATTAGGAGATAATTTGATTTGCCGACTTGTATTAATTTTCACAGAAGTTCAGTATTTATATCATAAATAGAAGGATTTAGACAGATTAACAGATAAGACCCTGCAGGTACAATGTAAGTACAACGTAACCCAAAACGCAGACACCGCGAGAAGAAAAAGTTATCAGATACCGATATCACTGATTCATCGCCGTCCGCATTCCGGAAAAGGGGCTATTGCAAAAAAAAAAAAAAAAAAAAAAAAAAAAAAAAAAGCTATTGTTAAACGACAAAAAGTTGTTGTTGTTCGAAGCTCAATGAATTGAAATTTTTGCCAAAACAGCATATTTAAATCTATTGATGGTAAAAAAAAAATGAATTTAGGGAGTAAGTCACTTTTAGGGATGCTCTGTAAAAATGCTGAACGTACGAGAGAGAGAGAGAGAGAGAGAGAGAGAGAGAGAGAGAGAGAGGGCACTTCGTTCGTGTTTATAATGTATATTAACTGTTGATCAGGTTACCATTTTAAACACTCTAGTGAAACTTGAGTTTGAATTCTGCTTTCTCGACTGTTTTTAATTGTTGCACGTCTGCTAGAAGGCACCTCACGCGCGCGCCAAGTAATATATTTATACAAAAGGTTGCCAGATTTTTCTCCAAGTCATTAAGCGTTCCCATTGTGCGAAAAAAAAAGAAGAGAAAGAAAAAATATATATATTTAACGTAAGGACTGATACTACATCGCATCTGGTTTTTGTGTATCGAGGAGATATTTCTCCGCCAACTGTTGTCATCATCTGTTCACTTTGAAGATAATTTGCAGTACGGGTTTCATGTCTTTTACTGATGCACACATGACCTAGTGGAAGCACACTAATTCTTGTAAGTCAGTCGTAGACATGGTTACCTATGAAAATTTTCAGGGTTTGCCCTATGGGAAATTGAAGGGGAGGGGGGGTGTTAGGTTTCTGACATAAGGCTTAGAATGGCCCCTAGATGATTCTTTTCTGCTCCTAAAGGATAAGGAGATTTGAAACTGTTTCGCAGAAAATTAAACTGAAAATCCATTCAGCAGATTTTCACCACCTAGAGATAAGATACTTGAATAAGATTGAGTTCACAAAAGGTTATCGTTGAGGGTAGAACAAAACGAGAAGAGGAAGAAACTGTATTTCCAAACCAAGCCTGTCATTTAGCAATCGTCCATCTCTTCATCAAATCTACAGACGATACAGAGAATTGCTTTGATCTCCGACCTTGTAATGAAAACTTTCCCGCTGCAAAAATCATTGGCACGTGCCCTTAAACATAGCGTTTCAGCAGGTGCCCGCTTGCGTATGCACTTCAGGCATTCGAAATAGTCAAACTCATCAAAACAATATCTAAAATAAAATTTAATGAATAGTAAATGATCACATAGATTCCGCACACACTTTAGCACTGACGTGTTATATCTGACGTAATGAAAGCATTTTGATCAAAGTCAATGTTTTTAAATTTTTAAAACTATTAATCACGTAAACGAGAATCCGAAATATTTTTTTTAAGGTTCCTTCATAGACGTACGTATATATCTACATTAAAAGATGTATACATTTTATTCAATGTTTTTTCTTAATACTTACATGTACTATTCTGAATCAACAATTTTCACAAAACAATTTGATAAAACATGTATCATTGAAAAGCGCTCAATATGTGAATTACGCGAGACCATAAGGAAACGGGCAGCCCTATCCTCGAAAATGAGTACATGGATTCCTTGATTACTGCTGTATATGTGAATAATGCACAGCTGTTGATCAAATAAATGAGATGGGGAAATATTAATTCTGATATCTTTTTTAAAGTGTATGTTATACATGTAATTTATCAGCAATGTGATTTATCACAAAAAGGTTCAAAATTACGCGATGTACATTAAATTTCAAGTAGGAAAAGTATACATTAGTTAGGCAGGGGATTTCAACAGCTTTCACATTATTAAATTTTATTAAATTAACGTAAGTGATGATTCGGATGATAGAATTTTTTAAACCCAATGTCTTCAAAACTCGTAACAAATTTGTACTACATGTATAAATTTATAAATTAAACAACTGTGTTTCTTGATACAATTACGAAAAAAAATTACTGATACTTAATACTTAATATTATATATATATATATTTTTTTAATATATATATATATATATATATATATATATATATATATATATATATATATATATATATATATATATATATATATATATATATATATATATATAGTCACAATAAATATAATTCAGAAACATTTTTTAACTCGAAATTAATTATCTTTTATACTTGGAGGAAACCTCCTCCTCCTCCTCCCCCCCCCCCCCAAAAAAAAAAAAACTCCACAGAGATCGGCGATCTCAGTGATACAAGTAAAACACGTGAGCTATTGAACAACGGTAGGTCACACCGCCGCGGAGAAGCGACCCTTTATCGGCACCGCGATGAAAAACCGGTGTAACGCGGAAAGGATTAAAACACCGCGGAGGGGACTCGGTTAAATGACTAAACCGTGTTGCTTGTACTGCAGACATGAATTTCAACTCATTAAAGTCAGCTTAGATTACTTTTCTAAGTAAAATGATAAAATTAAGAAGTGAGGTAGCTTTTGATTTTTTAAAATTTTTTTTTTCGATTGAAGCTCATTTCTACTAAGAAAAGCGACCCCTTGATTGTTTCCATATGACGTCATCGTTTAGACTGTCTTTGTGAACAAAGATAAATTACTCTCCGTTTGCCCGTTCTCTTTGCTCTGACGTGCTAACGGACCTCCTTAAATGTTTCCTGCAAATCAAGCGAGCGTTAAGATGGGATAAAATTGGTTTCCATCAATAATATAAAAACAATGGCACCGTACTCTGATGGTCAGTTGGAAAGCTTTCAGGATTTTACTGTAGGCCTACGCAATGGAATGTCAGAAACGTACTTTAGAATCTCTCACAACGTTCCCCATTCCGCAATTTACGACATTACAACGGAAATGACATTTATGTTGCGTGACCTAACAAAGAAGAGCTAAAAATTAATATAAAAATGGGTTTCTGAGTTTTTTTGCAACCTTGTAGATGGCATAATTATGAACTATTTTTCGTATTTCTATTAGCTGTTATAATAAGATTCCATACTTCGATGTTAAGCTTAGTGGTAGGTTGCGAATTAAGCCAAAGTCGATTCACTCGGATCACCTCGGTCGATTTTATAGATGTAGGGTACCGAAATCTGCCGAGGTTTGCCGAAAGGAAAGTTGATTCTGCTATCCAAGGTCTCTTATAAACTATCAAGATTGCTTTGTTTAAAAGATCAAAAGAAAGAAAATCAGATTCTCAATTACAAATGATATACGATATTCTTCTTTTGTGCTATTTTGGAACAATCTCAAATTCTTGTAAATCTTGTCTTGGATTTATCGGAAATTCTTAGATTTTCGCAGATAATACTTGTTAGGTCTCAAAGAATTATTTGATAATGCTTTGCAAAAGATGATAATGGACTTTCATTATGTTATCTAATTCACGCATTAACAAATTTAAAAAGAGGAATAATGATACCGGTTGATACCAGGAAAACGTATAGTCTCAGAAACTATAGATCAATTTGCAGACAGTATAAATGCTCCAGTACGTCAGAAATTAGTAATTTCCAAAAATAGCATGAGGTTACCTAAAGTTTCGGACATTCGTGTTCAACTTTCTTATAAAAGCGTGATATGATTTTCTTCTTGTTTTGGTGAACATTTGCCGTTAAATTTTTGTTATCGTACACTGTTTATCAGATGGAGACTGTCATTGGCGTGAAGTGACCGCCCTAGGGGGCAGTTGTCCGTCAACTTGTCCGTGAAAATACCCATTAGTTATGTGGAAGTCCGCGGTTGGTCGTGCATGTATGAGGCATTTTCCCTGTTGGAAGATTAACTGATTTTTATATGCTGAAATGTCCTGCTTGTCTCTAATGTAAAATTGTCCAAAATAATGAAAATTTACATCTAAAGGCCGATTTACACTGTATGATTTTTAAGGTGGGACTCGCCGCATCTTACAAATCAGGACTGAATCATAAGCCAGATATGAAGTCAGATGGAATATAAAGACATGCTCTATTCTGTCTGGCAAGTCAGATGGTTTCAAACGATCATAAACAAGACAGAAAGCTTGATCTGAATAAAACACCATTAACACGTGGATTTTTCCCAAATTTTGCTCCAGATTAATTTAGATAAATTAGTGTGATATACCGGTATTATACGGCCACCAGAAGTCTCCTGTTCCAATAATGTGTTCTTACTTTTCTGATAGACATGCGCAGTCCTTGTTCGGGCACCAAACATCCCAATACTTTACAATACACCTTGTACTATATCCGTCATATTACAAATGTACGTTAACCATTGCCCTTGCTAAAAGTGTGCTCGCACTACTCCTGACATCTGAAGCAAAAGGTTATAAAGGAAAATAGAAGTCGCGACCATTGCTTATTGACTATATATATGACCAATTACGTACATTCATAACTGTAAATTCAGAGGCCTGTTCAACAGAGCGAACGTTTGCGAGCGTTTGCCAAAATTCCTTATACTTCCAGCAGAAACGTTCGCGAGCGCGAGCGCTGTTGAACAGGCCTCAGAGCTAACCTTTGTGAGTTGCATGTTACGAGCATAATATGGCATGTAGATATAACTTAAACACCGTTTAAAAAAATATTAACAATTAAATGTATTTCAAGCGTACAATAAAATAGTTCATATGATAACATAATGTATTATATCTAGTAAGAGTATTTTTTTTTTTCGTAACTATTGAATTGTGATTATTTTTTAATTGTAAAGACAATTTCGCCATGGCTTTGAGCTGAATTTCAGACAAGATCTGTCTGTTTATCGTAGTGAGAAATATTGATCCAGTTTTGTTATATCACAGTCGGCATTACCCTTATACATGTATTCTGATTTTAAAGTTAAGTATGCTGAATCTTAAATTGACACGGGTACAAGTGTAACAGGTCAGAAATTAGCATTCAGCTTCGCTAAGCATCCATTTACCCTTATCTGGCCTGTAAGTGAACTCGCTACAGTAATTAGATTTATGCTTCGTTACCTGAAAATAGATTTACAGACTAAGATAAAACAAGAAGTGTTCAGAAGGAAATAAAAAGCCAGAGGTGTTTCGATAAAAAACATTAGAGCGAAGAACGTTTATGAAAATTACATTCTGGTGGGATTTGGGGTGGAGTATTTGTTCAGATATTAATAAATAGTGTTTGTAAGTATTCATTAGAGTTGTGGTCAAATCTTCACAACTGTACAACACAACTCTGCAAAACAGTGTAACAATATTAGCGACGTGTTGAATGTAATTATGTATATATAAATATACCTGTTTATATAGATTGATTATTGAAACCTTATATTATATTATTTTAGCAGGTAACTCAGCTAGCAAATACTGCGATCCAGACACGACAAAAGTGAAGCAACGCTGAGAGAAGCAGAAAAAATCGAAGTCAAGGTTTTAATACACCGAGTGATCTTGATCAAAAGTCTACCTCGAACAGCCTAAAAGGAATTTAAAAGTCTGACACTTTTTTGGAAATGGATTTATTGAAATTTTTAGTTTTGAATTCGGTTGGATGTTGTTTAACATCAGAGGGGACTGATATTACAGTATGCGAAGAAATTTACTGAAGTGTGAATGTGAAGGGGGAGATAATAAGCACTGAAGGGATAAAAAAAGGTAAAGCGACCGGAAGAGTAGAGGAACAGTTTCGGAAAGATGCAAAACAACAGTGCGGATGAAACGGACACAGAAGTGGATGGGGGAGCGGATAACAGGCCTTTGACAAAACGGAAACTTATGAAGCGTCGGCTAAGTCCGTACAAATTCAAAAGCGAGGAACTTGAGAAATTGTATCAGAAGTACATCTACAACCTCCAACAATCCGCTCTTCGGTATACCTTGGGCGTCTTCATAGTCCTCACAGCAACATTATCAGCACTGGAGTTTGCTTATATTCAAGATGTTACTATATATGGAATTTGTCATGGAGTGATGTGTCTTATTTTCGTCTCAATGTTTATTCTATTGCTAACTTTTCTTTTTAATTACGAATGCATGCGAGAGGTCCATTTTAGGGTTGTGGTTCATGTGATTTTGTTTTTCATGATCTGCTTTGCTGTGCTTTCATTTCCGTTTGACCTTGATCACCCCTTGGCGCCCCGGCCCATGTACACTCACGCGGACGGAGTGTGGCAGATTGTCTTTGTGGTGTTCATTATTTACTCGCTGGTGCCTCTGAGGACATTTCTGGCCGTAATCTGTGGCGTCATGATTCCAGTGAGTCACGTGATTGTTTGCATCGTCACGAAGACAGGAAGTGATTCTGATTGGTGGAGACAGGTAAGAAATAGTACAATTTAAACAAAGCTTTTGTATACAGTTTGACATGAAATTATTAAATTTCATTTTGCAGACTATCACAAAAATATCCTATGTTCCCGTCCCCCTTTATGTGTTGTGCTGCGTAAACGTTTTCTTCTTACTCTTTGATGACGTCAAGTTGCTCATTTATAAAAGAAATCGTAGTATAATAAAATACATGTATACAGTATTTACTTCTGATAAGCTTAATGCAGTGTAATAATGATCGAAATCAATTACAAATTGTAAAATTTATGTCTCTGACATGCTGAGTTCCAGTTTCATCCTGGGACTAAATATAGAAGCTATTTAATTGTAACACAGGTGACATTTAGGGGCCATAGGCCTGTTCATCTGTTGCATGCATTGGTCGTTGCTTTAGCAAGGAAATAATTATACAGCGCTACCAATTTGACCGATATTAGTCTTATTTTCAATTTTCTTCGAAAACGCGGTTTAGCTTTGACACCGCTTTGTTTAAATGTTCACGATACATTGCACTGACTGTAAAGCAAACCTTTAATTGCACTGGGTTGTTAGAGAAACCATTCAGAGGTCAACATGTCTGCCAAAGGCAGATTTATCAAGAAAATTTCCGTGACTGTATCCATTATGATATAAGAGTAGCGTAACCGAAAACTCTTAAGAAAAAAATTTCACTTTTAGGAAACATGAGACAGATTTCTCTCTCTCTCTCTCTCTCTCTCTCTCTTTACTTTTAATCAAGACAAAGAAAAACATACTTTTATTGTAATTGGAACTTAATGCAGACTGCTCTGAAATTAAAACCAGGTCTCGTACAAAAAATTAGAAGTTGTCTGTTTGGTGTCTTGAACATGCCAGATGGGTTCTGTATCGTGTAAAGAAAATAACAAGAAAGCCCTAGCCTGTTGTATTGTGTTTATAAAAGTTTATAATCTTTACCCCGAAATACCAATGATTTTTTTTGGTTTTGTTATGTTAGCAGATTTGAAAATAATTTTCTGAACGTTCTTAAATGTCTAACCATGCTAAGGGTAGATACCAAGTTGATACAAAATGAATCAAGAATATTGAATCCTTTTTCGAGATTTTCCATTTTTTCATTACTGCGTGTTAATTGAATTTTCCCTAAATAAATGTTACGATAAAACGGGATATATAAATTTAAAAAAAATAACCATATACTAGTATATGATAAGAATATATGATAAGAGACAATGGCACTTAGTTACATAATCCTCTTATTAACTATAATTACATAATTAGTTACATAATCCTTTGCAGGCTCTGCTTCGACAAGAGTAAATAAAAAGTATTGCGTTGAGTATGTGTAAAGACTTAATAGATTAGATGTATGACTAGAAACCGCAAATGATTTACAAATGCAAAGTTCATGCCCTAGCTTTATAATATATTGATTAAATCCACTGTTCGAATTATTGTGCGTTTTTTGAGTGTACATTTGAAACATCCTACAGGAGAGACATGTAGATATAATGAACACAATTATACACATTATGAGTTGAGAGACTTCATTAAACCCACATGTTTGATCTGCAGAGGAAAATTAAAAAATTAGGAATCTTTATGATGTAGCTTTACACGTGGAAGAAATAACCCCCCACCCCCACCCCACCCCTTCCAAAAAAATATACACACAAATGGTGAGGTCAACTTAATTGTAAAAATTAATTATTTACATGACAAATACATGTACAAGTTTGTCATTGGATTGGTAATATAACTAGGATCAATGGATAAAAAAGAGGCAAACTCAATAAATGAAAAAAAACAACATAATTTTTGTATAATCCGTAATTTATACAGTAAAGTATATCATTGAGGGAGTTAGCAAGATTCCAGTTCCCCAAGGCCAGGACTATTTCCCGAGGCGAAGCCGAGGGAAATAGTCCTGGTCGAGGGGAACTGGAATCTTGCTAACTCCCGCAATGATATACTTTTAACTGTTTTATTATACCGATACAAACGTAAAATTTAGAGGATTCATATAGCGTGATTTCAAAGCAGGGATTAGCTTGAACTGAACTGACACACGGGGATTAGTCCATTAACGTATCATACAAATGTAAAAGTAAAGTCTAGAGGATTACGGATAACCGGGAGTTAGCTTTTGAAGCAGGGATTAGCTCACTTGACTAACGCACGGGGATTAGTCCATTCATAACGATTTGTAGGGAATAAGTCACATCTAACTATCTAATGTTATATAGGGAAAAATCAGTAGAGGTATAATAAATACATATAATTACGGTTTTTTAGTCGCCCGTGTGGCGCAGTGGTTAGAGCACTTTGCTCTAGCGCCGCGGAGTAAGGAGTTGATCCTTACGTTGCGGGTTCGAATCCCACTGTGGGACGTGGAGATCGGTCTTTAGGATGAGACCGTATAAACCGAGGTCCCGTGTCGCAGTAGGTGCTGACACGAAAAAGATCCCTTACTGCTTAATGGCCCTAAGTGCCGAGTGATGAGAGCGTCTCCATATGAGTGAAAAATTCTCGAGAGGGCGTTAAACAACAAACAAACTTTTTTTTAAAGCAAACCTTTCTAGAAAAGGAAAGTATCATTTGTATTCCAAACTGAACGATATTTTGACTTCTTTACCTCTCAGTAATTTGATAACTCCAAGTCATGAAGATCTTTTGTAAATAAACATTTTAAGATGAAAGCCAGTTACTAAATTCTTTCAATTACAAGTACATCATTAAGCGCCGCTTGTTCTTTAAGAGAATTGAAAATCAATTTGATATTTATACAGCGTAAACAGTCGAGTATTTGGTTAGAAAGATAAGTAGGTACTCGATACTAAAAATACCACTGAAAATGTAAAACCTAGTATGCATGGAAACGTTAAATGCTGCTCTCTAACGTTCGCGCAGATTAATTCACCTTAACAAAATCAGCTAGCAGTCTGCACCTCCTTAGAAGATGTCGAGTAAAAGCTAGAGAGTTCTAAGACCAATTATCATTTCCGGAATGACCTCTTCTCTGAAAATAAAATTACATGATTACGATGGCTGGTATAGGACGTGGTATGAGAAACTCTTTCTGTTATTTCAATGACACGAAAAAATAATCGTGACCACGAAATGAAAATGCATGGCATCGAAGTAAAATTCTGGCCACTAATTATTTTAATTAGTGTATATGGAGTATGTATATTAGATATGAGGCGGTCTTCATTTTTAACTGATCTATCATTAAACCGTTAAAAAATTAGTTTTCTATTTCTATTCAACCTTTATGAACTCTTGATTTATACTCGTGCAAAAGGTGTTTTTCGTTGATATAAATGTATTAACTAAGGTCTAAGGGGAAAAATACGGTTATATCGATCCTTAAGGCTGCAATAAGTAAATTGTATGTTTTTCTTTGAACATTATGATTTATACAAGGGTTGATCCAAAATTAATTTCACAGCTCCTTTTAAATCTTTAATAATATCAATATATTTTTAACCTTGCCTTAAAATTTCATGCAGATTTATGCGAAATACCAAAACAAACATAACTTTGGGTCTCGTCTATCGCCACACGGCGAGAATGTATACTGACGTTGTAATGACGTTTCTCTTCGGCACTCATTTTCTGTTCTACCGCAATCAAGATCTACGCAAATTGGAATGAATTTAGATATAAGATCTGGACAAAGTTCAAATAATTTTTATTATAACTCAAAACAAGATGCTTTATAGCAAAATGGCAATTAAGATTATTAAAAAAGAAGTACGTGGGAAGTTTATTAACACATGCGGATGATCTAAAAATAAGTGTCGAAAAATTCATGTTCCGTCATTGGCAACATTCTTGACGTGCGGCGATAGACAAAACCTAACGTTGTGTCTATCTTAATATTTTAAAAAAAGTATTTTATATAACTGAACTGAATGAAATTTTAAGGCAAAAGTTTATTCAGATGGGGAAATTACATGTAGCATGTAATATTTTGTTGATAACACTCAGTAACATTATTACTTTTGGATCAAGCCTCGTATGTCATACGTTCTCTATTGCTTTGCGAGAGATGTTGGGAGATGAGAGGAAAAAAAAAAAGATTTTTTCTGCGAGATGAAGTAAGCTTGATTAGAGGTCAATCATTTTCAAGAATCACTGAGCCAAATTCAACCAAACTTGACAAAAACCATCGTTAGACGAAATCGATTAAGGTTTTTTTCCAAGTGAAGGAACACGTCCTCTTTCAAGGAGAGATAATTAAAAAATTATTTAGTGAAAAATAGATGACATCTTTAATTTTAAAACCTTCTTCGCTAGAACCATCTGGTCTAAAATGATAAAACTTATGTGAAAGCTTCATTACAAAGTATAGATTTAATTTTATCAAATCATGACCCCCGGGGGCTGGGTGGGGCCACAATGGGCGATCAAAGTTTTACGTAAGAAAATACATGTTTATGGAAAACAATCTGCTGATGAAGAAATGAAGGACCATAGTTACTACTTAAGCCCTTAGTGTAGTCAAAATAGGGAAAGGAATATATTAACTTCTCTCTGTAAAGCTAAAACTTTATTGCAATTATGATTCATTAAACAACTTTATTAAATATAATACTGCGTATATCAGTGTTTAATGAATGTTTAACATAATATGTAAATAAATCTACATGTGTCTAAGCAGGAACAGACCAAATTTTGAAACCTATTCTATACGTTACATACATAATAGATGTATGTACTAAAAAAATCGTACAATGTAGCCACGAATTTTTATTTCGTAGGAATGATTTTTTTTTAATTTGTGACCACACATTTTATTTTGTGACCACAAATTTTATTTCATGGCAGCGAATTTTTATTTCGTGACCACGAGTTTAATTTCGCGTGGCCATGAATTTTATATTATTTCGTGACCTTGATTTATTTTTTTTTAAAAATTCTCATATTATGCCCTATAACAACGACAGAGAAAAAAAATCCTGGTTTCATTTTCTTCGTGAACACAATCTGTACTTATTGAAGGGTAA